AGTTTCATCCTATATTAGAACTCAATGAAAGTGCATACTGGTAGCTGACAACTATACACTATGTATGAATACAAGCACCATAAAAGCAGGAAGGCCAAAATAAGAGTGCTGTGTGAGTACTCCTTATTCAAATCATTGAAAAACAGAGTCCATAGTATCGAATCACTTAGGTTAGTGGCCACTTCCCAGGGCTTAACGATAGACTTCGATCAGCACTGGACACGAAGAACTAGAGAGTTACATTGGTTGCCAGCTGATGACTGGTTCGTCTACCTGATTCAATTCAACCAGGGTTCAGTCATGGACTGGAAACCTTGGTGGCAAGGTCACTGAGTGGTGAAACAAGCTCAATTAGTCAAAGAAACACCAACTTTCTGTTGGCTACAAATCTCTTTCGTTGGTGTGTTTCAATAAGCACTACATCTAAGATAAGCAGGAATTCCTACCTACTAAATCCTAAAATCGGACCCCAGAGTATTTATTGCTACTTATGTGGTGAAGTAGACTACATTTTGCTGCAATTGCATTGATGTAAGTCTTCTTTGGACATATGAATATTCAGTAGTGACTTTAATAAATGTATTTGAGTTTAATGCATATCTGGAAACAACACCGTTTCAGAGTGAGAAGAATAGTTCATTCGAAGATTATTTTGATATCCCAAGATATCATATGCTTAATGAGGTAAGTCAAGAAGACGAATCTAACAAAATTACAGGTTATTTAGAAGCCAAATTTAAAATGTGACTATCCGCCAACATCTTTCAACTATTCTCGAAATATGTAAACAGAGTTAAGTGTTGATTTATCCTGAAATACCATGTTGACATTTATTTGAAGGACAGATTGCATTGGAGGATATGAAATGAGTATAAAGTGCCCAACTCACTTTGTTCGAATAGATCTGGCCGTCCGTTTGAGAAAGAAAAGCAACGCATACTGATTAGTGTTTTTATTAGTCTACAAAACTTTACTGACGAAATGCAGTTCTTTAATATCATATATATATATATATATATATATATATATATATATATATATATGTACGCATGCACAGCTTGAGAAAAGATTCGTTGTAAAGAGTCATCTTCCCTGAGTATCTTGGTTCTGATGTCACAATGGGAATTATGAATTTCCATTACAATTTATTTTCTAAATATTCATCGGCTTCATAAATTCTCAAATTACACTGGTTCCTCGAACAAAATTATACGACCGCATACTTTAGCCATCAAATATTGACTAACAGTAGATAGATGATATAAAATTAGGGAAGCCAAAGTATCAGAAAGAAGAGTTTCATAAATCACAAATGAAAATTAGTACTTATTTTTATGATATGAGATAGAGGCTTAAAATATGTAGCAAGAGATGTTATCAGTTAAAAGATTACGCAGCAAAGAAAGAATAAACATTCATTGGAATAGACTCGGTGACTCGTTAGAATGAATCATCACAGAAGTCAGAGATTCATCACACACCAGCTCTCTCTGTATGCGCAATTCAGGCTGAAAGCGTTTTTTCAGCAGTTACACTGGTTAGGCGTACCGGTCTAGATATTTTCTGCACATTTAATATTTTTAAAGAAATATAATTATTGACCTGATGTTCGGAATCTCCCAAGTGTCTGCTGACTCCATTGGTCAAATTCTTACTTTCCTTGAAGTGTGCTAGGTCAACAAATGCTTGCAAGTCCGTTTAAATTCATAAACGCAGCAGGAGATGACATCTGTAAGTTATTTATCCAGTCTGAATAAATTCAGTAACCAAACGATATGAAGCGATATAGAACTGGTTTGGTTGCGGGAAAACTTTATTTAGTTCTTCTTTAATCCTCAAATATATTCGCTTGGTTATCGCAGTTGCTTTCTCATTATAATTGAATTATAATATTCAGCTCAGTTCTATAGTCAAGTGATAATTGGTTTTTATAGTTACTAGAAAAACGAAACTTCAATTCTGCGGTAGTGTAGTTTGCAAGTATTTCTGTATATAAACAATCAAATGAATAGATTTAATGATAGTTTGTTCAACCGATGGAAAATCTCTTAAGATTCAAAGTCATTCTCTTTCTGCACTATAAACAGATAGATACATTCAGATATACATCTTAATTATAATATTTTATTCGATGATATAAATTTCACCAACCTTTTCTATTTATTCCTGCACTATATGAATCTCTTTTTCCCACAATCATTCTCCTTCCCAGATGCATAAATTCACTACTACATAGAATTTTTTTAACGTACGTTCTACTTAATCACGTGCCAAAAAATTCAGACAGGTATGCGTTTGGATAAACGTTTACATGTATGAATGCGTATGTATCTCATTACTTAACGTGGCATTTCAATGGATATACTAACTATTTGATCGAAAAATAAGGAATTGTGATGGTTTCTCTTTATTCGTGCTGAATTACATAATACAATAAATTAGATTGATTGTCCATAACAAGGGATAAATAAAATGGCTTTAGTCGGGAGTAATCAGAGTGAAACTGTGTGCCTAGATTCCATTCCCATTTGCAGACATTAATAATCTTTACATTCAACTCCAAGGTGATTCATGGGTTTTTAGAGATTCTGAATGAAATTATTTCTTGTTTCGGTTGTAAGCTTTACAGCCAAGCTTATAATACACTGGACTGTTTACACTTACGATTCGTACTTTGGGATAAATAGGATTTTACTATTCCTCTACGTTCACTCAAGACTGTCGGCTATCGGTGTGACAATGAATAGCAGAGAATTATAAAAAAAAAAGAGGACTTCCTCCTTTTGAAATCCGCAGATATGAATTGCTATCCACTAAAAAACTGCATAGACTTTATTTATTATTCTGAAGAAAGAGGTAACTTTCAGAAGAATTTTGCTTTTCTTCAGCATTTATGGTGTAAACATAATGATGAATATTTTTCAAAAGCGTAAGCAATGACATTAAAATGGAATTACAAGTGATCATACTTTAGTCATAATTCATTCAGTTGTTTGTGACTGAACTTCCATCATAGTTGGCATTGTTGTCTTCTAATTATGTTTGGAATTCCTTTCATACACCTCAGGCTTAAAGTAACACCCACAGACTCGTCCTCACCGAATCTGAGCCTGTGGATAAGAAATAAAATCACCAAACGCGTTCACGAAATCACTCAATTACTCATCAGAAACCAGTAGGAATTTTTTACGTTTTTACGTTTACTTGCCTACTTGAACCGTCTATAGCTGAGGCGAAATGTCTCACTTTTCAATGAAAAAATGTTTATTCTAACCAGCAGTCTGCGTTCTTCTTCGGCTTTAAAACTCTGAGACATGACTACTGAAACATGAGGAATTCATGTGTTTTTATAAAATTCCCTATATATGAATTAGTCACAAGAGGGGTGAAGCGGAGGTTACGTTTATGGAGAACAGATGAAGAGTATGTTTTAGCCTGTGAGGTTACTAACCGGTACCCAATGGTATGTCTAAGACAAGTATTGTGTAAGCCAGCCTTCCATCTGTTTCAGAAGATGATGATAAGATTCGGCTGAAAAGGTTTTAAGACTGGACAGACTAAAAGGCAACTCTTATGCACTTATTCTCCCACTGTTAGTCCCAACAGCTAATGTCAGTGTGAGCTGCTTCATTCATGTCTTCAAAATATTAGGAGTAAACATTTGGAAACCCTTAGGTTATATGGTTTGAAATCAGTCAAATTGGCGTTCATTTACTCACTCTTCACCGTCTTCGACATCTCAAATGGTTTCATCAATTTCACTCAATCATCTTTTATGTGATCATATCTTTTTGTTGACTTTGACGTCAAATGATCCCTATCCACTTTATTTGATAAGTACGGTAAATTAATGATGCTCTTTTGAGAAAAGCTATGAAGTGATTTATTCCTTTAACCTCTATTACTCCTACTATTCTCATAAAAGCGTAACTAGGTTACAGATGGCCGTTGCCAGTCAGATTTAAACCTACCACGGAAAGTTATTACTTGATCTTGGAAATACTTCATGAGACAATGTCAACTTTATCACCCTCAGATCAATTAAATAGTGTCAAACCATTTGGTAGAAACTCGGATTTAAACTCCATATTACCGGTCCAAGTGGTTCCTCATAAATCAAGGATAACAAAGAATAACTGTCTTATGAATACTACGGTTGTAAACATTCATCTTTGCAGCAGTCTATTCTATCATTTTAGACAGCTGAGACATAGGTGTAAAAAAAGAAGATATGAAGTGGTTATGGGGTTTTGATCGGAAGTGTCTTCGTAGCATTGTTCGTGTTTGTTGGAATCATCATGTGAAAAATGTTGAGGTTAGGCGAAAGGTACTATGGAAGATAGGTAAATCCATTGATGAGGTTGTGAACCTTAGTCGACTGAAATGGCTTGAGCATGTATTGTGAAGGCCTAGTGACCACTTACCTTATCGTAAAATGCTAGGAAAAGTCGGATATGGTTGTAAGAGCGTTTACACTGGACAGACCAAGACGTGGCACTAATCGATAAAGTCTCCGACTGTTGGTCTGAGTCGTGTAGGCAGATCTAAATTGCCTGGTTGGGATCCTTGGGATGAAAGAAATCAGTGGTTGATGACTCTTGGTTACATAGCTGAAAACCAGTCGAAGTGTCGCAGATGCATTCACTTCTTGACGTCTTTTAAAGTTTAAATATTTGCACTATCTGTTGTCTTCAAATTGTTTATTCTGTCACACAACTTTATTTACTTCAATATCATTCTTTTTCCATCCACCTGTTCTTTGTATACTACTGTGAAGTGTGGCAACTTGAGCTCAAGCACCTGTATGTGAGGTTTGGTCTTGATTTTGCCTGTGAGTCAGTAAGTTTTAACCCCTTTGTTATCTGATTTATGGCTAAGCTTCACTTCTCATACTTATGTATCATTTTCAAGATAGTCTGATATGTTATCTGAAATGTTTAGACAACTATTCACAAGTAATTAAATATTTCCTACTCCATCATTTTTGTTTTTCTGATCAGGTCTGTTATCACTCCTATAATTTATCGAGTTTTACTGGTGGAAGAACAACAGGATGTCCACATTCCTCCAACCGTCAAGTTTATCACTCCAAATAATGTTTATCATATTCTGGTTTATAACTCTTGTCCTACAGTTAAATTTTCAGTATATTCTTTGTGCAAAATCATCTCAAACTAGTCATTTTACTGTTAATTTTAATATACTTTCTCGTATGAAACGTATGAGTGGTGAAATTTCGAATCCAGACAGTCCAAGTTCATCTACTGTTGTGAATATTTTTTATCGTATTCGGGCTGATCGGAAGGGTTTAATTACATGTGAAGTAAATTTGAAGGAAGACGATCCAGTTGATTCCAACGCAAACACATCCAATCAAACTAAATCATCCTCTGATTCAATGTCACAGAAGAAACCTACAAGTACATTGTATCTGATATGTCCCCAAGTAAGTTGTATGGTTCAATCTTAAGAGAGGAAATTTTGTTTTATTTTCGTACTGTGTATGAACTACCTAAAAAATACAGAAGAAACTGAATATGTCATCAAGAAGCGGGATGCGGTATATGTGAACGGATGTTCTAATACAAATATTCAAAGAGCAAACTGGTGATTCAAACATTCTATGTTGTCTGCTCTCTCACAAAAAAGTTAACCAGTGTTTTGGAGCAAGAGAGAATTAGTGGGATGCAGGAAACCAGTATTTGCAACCATAAAATTAGGGTTTTAAGCACCTGATGTGAACTGGAAAAAGACAAGAGAAATTATTTGGTGTCTAGTAGGGGATTTCAAGATGTGCACTTTATCCTTTTTAAGACTCGTTAGATGGATTTTCATTCATTCCAATGAGTGGTGGTGTTCCCACAAAAATCTTCGACCCAGTTTGCATCGCCTTAAACGCCAAAGCGTTTTCCACCACGTCAATAAGACAGGATACCAATCTCTTTGTTAATGAGTACTAGTTATTACTATTAACTGGTACCTGTCATTTTATATGACTTCATTTAAGGTGTTGACTCTTACTTATATCTGCTTAATTGCCTGCATCGAGAGTAATATTAGTGCGGCAGTTTAATGGCATAAAAGTTCAAGTTGCAGCATGCAACTTCCTTCGACAGCATGAAACTTAAATCCTACAGACATTCTATAGAAATCGGAGGTATCTCAATAGTGGCAAATCATTTCCACTTCAAAAACAAAGACCAGGAAACCATAAAACTTTAGACATGTTCTTTCTGATAGATTCTTGAATACTATTCCGATATAGGCGATCCAGAAATGTTTTCTGGTGACCATAACAGTAAAAGTGATTACATCCAATACTAAGTAACCATTTTGCCACCCAGCAGGGAAAGAAAATATTTGTAAGTTGATATAAACTACTTATATTTCAATGGCTTATTATTAGATGTCCGCGTGCGAAAGTTTTATTCGAAAATGAAACATTCTTGGTTGTAATTTGCTTGATAGGAGCAAACAGCTGGATCTAGAACGCTCGTTTCATTTTATTTGTGACTAGTCAGCTAAATATACTCGCATCCCAATTAGTGATGTTGTTCCCAATGAGACTCAAACCCAGTACCCGTTTTCAAAAAATGGCAGAAGGAAATTTCTCGAAGTTGAATTGCCTATCTACATGAATAATACTAAACAGAAGTGATACGGATTCTTTGAAATGAAAACATATAACTAGTATCCCTACTAAACAATAGGTTAACACCAAATTTCGAGCAAGAGTACTGTAAAGATAGGAGAAGGAAACAAAAAAGGGGGAATGTAGAAAATTCTGAATATCCTTTGTGACTGGTTGTAAGTGGAGATTAAGTCTTGGAGAGAATAAACTAGGAAAAAGAGATTCAGTCTCTTGGACTACTCCACAAGGACATCCTGTTTAATTGGCCTATCATTTCCATCCAGATAATTTCCCATTATTATATAACTGCACTTACTTGAATTATGACTACTTATTATTTGTTTAGTTGAACAAAAACCATTCTCCTTACCGTCTAAATCTTTGAAATGGATTTTATAATCTTAAATTAGGTAAACAGTTAATTAAATTTTGAGGGAGTTGTGGAGATTTGGAATTATTTCAAGTTGTTATTCATCGAAGACTGACATCAGTTGGAGGAACAACTGATGTCAATCTACGATGAATAACAACTTGAAACAGTTAATTGCTTCATTTTTATTATTGTCTGCCAATTTGTCCCAGATGTGTGCTGCCAATAAGAAGCCATTGAAATGAAATCAAACTTGCCTTCTCCCATAAAAAGAGTGTTATAATAATTTCATTATTCACGTTCATCACAGTGTAAACTGAACTATGCAGCTGTTTTTTAAGTAAATAACTAATTCTTAGGTATTAACAGGAAATTCGCGATAATAGTTAATTGTTCAGATTTAAATTAGCCAATTAAACAATAAAGACTTAGAGTGCGAAAGAAGAACAGGCTATCATCCTTTCCCTCAGGTGTATTCAAAAAATCACTGGGTCGTAAATTTACCGCCTATCCCAATCTCATATATGTAATATCAAATTTCGTGTTGATTAGTGCAATCTTTGAGTCGCTTGGTCTAATTTTTATTGTCTACATTTCGTTAAAATTAGCCATTTTGAAGCAAATTGTTACCTATTGGTAATCCATGATATTTAATTATTGTCGAAATCAGTGATTCAGTACAACTAATGTAGTTATATTCAGGCTAATCATTGATTGCTTGTATTATACCGTCATTGATTAGACCAAATTGGTTGTGGCTCGGTGGTGTAGTGGATTACGCTCTCGCGTTTGAAGCGATCGCTCTCGAGTCCACATCCAGGTGGAAACAACATCCCTCACTGGGAGGCAGGTACATCTGTCTGACGAGTCCCAAATAGGACGAAATGTGCATCCTGGATTCTATTGCTAGCCATTATCCATCTTTATTTATTTCATTAATTAATATTCGTTTCTGATTTGGCAGCTTCCAACATCCATTTGTTACATGGACTGTAATCCAAATTGTCTGCTGAATGAACATGGTTGTTCAATACCACATAGTATATCACAAGTTATTGAAGGTTGTCAATTTAAACGTCTTAGTGTAAACACATTCCAATATCAATATATTATTAATATGGAAAAACTAGACAATACAGGTTTATGGAACTGTGAATATCGTGGACAACGTGCAGTCAGATCATTGGAATTACAAGCTGCAGAATTTTTACCAATAAATGTAACTGACAATAAGAATAACAATAATGTCGACAATTCAATAAAACTAAATCTAACCAGTAAAACAAATTATTCACTTCAGGATATCCAGAACCATTCAGAAATCGATAAATTAAATTCAATCAAAATAAAAGATAAGACAAAGGATACTCAACAAAAATTGAATATTTCAGTTAAAAATAATACGACGGTTAAATTTCAGAGTAAGTATTGCCATTAGGCATTTTAATTTTATCCAATCACTGATATTATTCTAGAAGCTGAATACAATTGGTTATGGAGATGGTTGTTACCAATTAACCATGTAACAATCAAACTGTTTCTTATGAATAATACCGATCAGACTACCTATTCAGTTTTAAATCCTCTTCATTGTTCTTTGAATATTCTAAGATTACTGTTTCCATAAGGTTGATTTAAAGTATTTCATTTCTCACCTCTCCAGGTTATCCCATGTGTCATCAAGTTCAAGTTTATTCTACATTAGAAAGATTAGATAAAGTAGACAATATTTTTGAAGAATTTGATGATCAAAGGATAACATGTGAAATTTAAATGTGAGAAAATTAAGTGTTCACAAAGGAACGTCAAATGTACTGCGTAGAAAGATCAGTAACCTAATGGTTTTCTTTGTATAGGATGTATTTTTACTTGTGTAATCCCGGCGTAGTATATTAAAACAAATAACAAAATAAACAAATACTTTGTATTATTCCTCAACGTTTCGATCTTGCTAGGAAGATTCTTTTCAAGAGTATGAATCTGACACTAAGTTTTCAGGTTAATATTCAAGTTTTGGTACACAAAGTGGTAACCTTTTATTACTATTATTATTGTTATTATTATTATTATTATTATTATTATTATTAGTCCCTTGGGTTCCTAGTGGAACATAGGGCTTCAGTAGCACGTCTCCAGTGACCTCTGTTCTCTGAGATCTTTTGGACCTGGTTCCACGACAGCCCACAACCTCTCATTTCCTCCTCCCACGACCTCCTCCATGTCACCCTCAAACGTCCAACTCGTCGCTTCCCATGGGGATTCCACTAGAGGGCCTGATGGGTGATGTCCCCAGTCGGCCTTCTCAGTGCATGCCCAATCCATCTCCACTTCCTCCTGCATATTTGTTGCGTGATAGGTTCTTGGTTGGTTCGTTCCCAGAGTTGCTTGTGGCTTATTCTTTCTGGCCATCTGATCTTCAGTAGCGAGCTAGCGTAAGCAGTTGTTGTTAATATTCAAGTTTTGGTACACAAAGTGGTAACCTTTACAATCATCCAATTACATAGTGATATGGAGCAAAGATCAATGTAATACAGGTGACTGAATAAGCAACTCGGTCAGAGAGGTTTTTCCGTTGTGCGAATAAGGTGGAACAAAAAAATAGGGTGGGGAAATTTTTTAGTTCATCTATGAAAAGTACAATGGGGTTGTGAGACATCAAGGGTGAAAAAGAATAGATTACTAGTTTGGAAGGATGAATATTTGAAGATGAGACAATATATCTTAAATAAATAATAATAATAATGATAACCATAAATGTACTTTTGATAACACTTGAAGTATGAGTGATAACAAAGTGGATTATGTTATGGTTCATCGAATGTATATGACTCAGAGAGTAGTGTAAAATTGATGAAAATAGTAGATCAATAAGGTGTATGTAATAGGACTAGACAATCTACCTTCTCTTCAGATATTATTTATAAGTGCCTAGGCGAGTCATTAATGTTTGCCATATTAGTGGGATGTCTAACCCATCTTTTCTGTTGACCGAAGAAGGATATGAGCAGATGTGCAAATCTTCTGCAATGGTCAGCTCTCTGTTATGCATATTACTTAGTGAACAGTCAACTTTAATAAATCTTCGTATGCAGTCGATATTTATGCCAAAATTTCTAGTTCTTTCTAAGTATGCTTTCTGAGTAGGTGTTTATTCAAAATGACTCTATAACTTGGAGAGTTCAATGATTTTTCATACTACACTAGTCAATATTTAACGTTTTTTTCTTTTGTAAGACTATACAGTTTCACAATATGAAATATTTGTGCAACAAAAAATACACAGGCTGATAATAACTCTAGACTGATACAACTTGGAGACTTCCTCAACACTGCACACCCATGACCCTCCAGCTTAGTACCAAGCACAAAACCAATGAGCCACTGGGTTGGGATCCATCAGTTTACTTTTTTCTACTTCCACAAATTCTGAAGTTCATCTGTTCGATTCCAAGTGAGGTCATGAGTACACACTGCCATACAGTTCCATACTACGATGAAAGAGCTGTCCAGCGTTCCTTGAAATCATCATATTCCTACAAATCTCCCAGCTAAAAAGCAAATCTACCTGAAAAACTGATGCAAAGTAGGATATGTAGTTATTTATCGAGTTTTTACTGTTGTGAAATACATTAATTATGGTAATTAGTCTAAAGGTTCAAATAATTTGTCGAATACTAATGAAATTACTCAGCCAAAATATAAAATGCAGATTCTGATTAACTAGTATATGTTAAGCATAGATGTTTTTGAGTAAGTGTCACTGTCTCCACATTCCTGAATGGCCTAAACAAACAAAATGTTTGACAGATAGAAGCCTTGACCTTGACTTAGATGCGTAACGTTACTACTACTACTACTACTACTACTACTACTAATAATAATAATAATAATAATAATAATATGAGTGCAACGACACTTGGTAGGCAGACTACACCACTGAATACTCAGTCGAAAAGCTAGTTATTAAAAAATTTATGGTTATTTAACCATTTGAGAATGAAGTTATCAAAATATCCAGAAGGGCGAGAGAAAGGCAGTAGTAAAATTCTGAGGGTGTCTTAATGCACAACTGCTTGTACTATACCATCGTTTATTGGTCCGAATTGATTGGTCTCCACTGGCATATGGGCTCTTGTGAGGACGCCTTGATATTACCTGTGTTCTAATTATAGTAAAGATGGATAGGGACTAACAGTGGAATCCGCGGTGAGCATTTCGTCCTAATTTCGACTCGTCAGCTGGAAGTACCTGCCTTCCAGTGAGCGATGTTGTCCCCACCGAGACAAAATGCGCATCCTGGATTCCATTGCCAGCCAACATCCATCGTTATTATAATCAGAACACAGGTTATATCGAGGTATCCACACAGAAGCCCACATTCCAATAGAGACCGATCTATTTGGTCCAGTATAAGACGGTATAATACAAGCAATAACACTAAAACTAAATTCGTCGCGAAAAAGTGGCTATGTGGCTCGGTAGTGTAGTGCATAACGCTCTCGCGTTTGAAGCGATCGTTCTCGAGTCCAAATGCAGGTGGAAACAACATCCTTCACTGGGAGGCAGGTACATCTATCTGACGAGTCTCAAATAGGAAGAAATGTGCTGCCTAGATTCTACTGCTAGCCACTATCCCTGTTTACTATCTTAGTGTACATTTGTGTACATTTGATTCAAGATAGTTGAAGCAGGATATCTCCAGGAGTTTTCAATGACATCTCCTTTTGATATTTGTGAATAATGCAGATCAGGATCCCATACTGACATTACCAGAGATTCATAGCCTCTTGAATAATGGCTTATTTAGAAATACAGCCGACATGCCATTTTAGAACAGTTTATTCCACTAAAATCCTAAAGCATTTTACGTTTATCTTTTTATATGGCAATCAAGCATTCGTTATCTTCCTTAGTACTTGCTTAATTCTATACTGAATGGTAACACCTCTATATAAGTAACTTTAATCATAAGAAGTCATTATTTTCTGTCCATCCGTTTCACTGCCACATCATATAGTGGTATGAAAATCACACAAGACTTTTACAAAGCAGTTTCGGCTAACTATCCATTAAGTGGTCTATTAACATCATATCTTGTAGTTTCATGAACTTAAAGTCATAACTTTGACAAGATAATGTTTAGTAGTCAAGCATTCACCTCAAAACTAGTAACAGCGAAAGCCTAAAACAATCATTGGATTAAACCGTATTGATGGCCATTATTTTTGGTCAATGAAATCTTAGCAATTCAAAAATTCAAGTCCCTTCGACAAATAAGTCTTTGTATATTCATTCAAAGATAGGTAGATTGAATGCTGTATTAAGTATCTTCAAAAGAATTCATTACTTTCCCAGTGAACAACGTGCAAATCAAATTATAGGCATCTCAGTTTTGTCTTTTAGTAGTAATATTATACTCGAAGATCTGCAGGCGTAAACAAATAAGTTGGCAGAAGAGGCGAGGCAGCAGAGATGGGACTTCAGATGAACGTAGAGAAGACAGAAGTGATGAAGATACCCGACCCAACCGAAAAAACAACACCAAGCACCAATCACCATCAACGGGAGAAATGTAAAGGAAGTTATCTCTTTTACCTACCTACATAGGCAGCATCGTCTCAACAACACGTGGTGGCGACACAGATGAGGATATCAAAGCCACGATCAGAAAGACAGCAAGATAAGCCTTCATTAACCCGAAATCACTGCACTGCACTCAGCATAAAGTGTGAACAATATCCGGATTTTCAATATTAATTTCGGTCAAGTCAATGCTTATATGTGATGGTTGAGAAACTTGACACGTTATGGAAAACATTTCCAACCAACTGCAGACATGCATCATCAACAGCTGCCACCTACACTCACTCAATACTCAAGATTAGATGGCCAGAATAATAAGAATAAGCAACAAGGAACTGTGGCTGGCAACAAACCATTCAACGAATATGCAGAAGAAAGTGGAGATAGATTGGATTGTACATACACTGAGAAGACCATTTGGGGATATTACATGTCAGGCCAGGCCATCAAGAGGAAGCCCAGTGGGAAACAATGAGTTGAGCGTTCGAGGGTGACATGGAGGAGATGATATGAAGAAGAAATGAAAGCTTCTGGAAAGTCATGCAGGTAGGTTCAAAAGACTGCAGAGAACGGAGTGAAATGGCGGCATGCGACTAAAGCCCTACGTTCCACTAGGAACCAAAAGGACAAATAATATAAACAATAATAAACGTAGTATTATTATTTTACTAGTTTGAACTATGCATATAGTCCATATTTTCGAAGTAACTTTCAAAACTGAATTAAGGAATTTTATCTCCTTTTTCTGTAATTTGAATATAGCTCAGAAAGACATACTTTCATATAGTGATAATAGTTTTGGTTGTAATGAATAAATTTTGTGTTCTTTTTTACGATACCTATGCGTTCTATATTATGTGTATTCCTTTTTTTCCCCTTATGATTCTGTAGTCTTAGTTGCTTAGTTGTATATCGTAAAGCTGTTCACATTTACACTTACTTAAATTCATGTAAATTTGTACATCTATCCATTGAAACCACATATACTGGTTATGAGTACAACTAACACTGAATGCACAAATAAACCATTTTACTACATTATTTTATTGCACAAGAATTCTTATCGAAAATCCCAATGGTTACCAGTTGTATTGATACTAATCGCAATTATAACTTTGATATAATTAAATGAATTCAGTTGATTACTTTTTCCAAACGTTTTCTGATCAAATTACTTTTAACAAAACGATTAATTTATTACACTGAACAAATCCAATAAAAGACAAAGGTTTGATCACAAGGTATAGATGTCTTTTTACTTGTGTAAAGCTCAGGTTGTAAGTTGCATATTTAAATTTGCAGATGTGTATGCAAGTGTAGGAATGAAATTGATACGTCAGTACAACTAATTTCTAGCAGCTTATATATACATATATATTGAGATGAATCGAGACTTTGCTTCGAGGTAGTATTCCTCACAGAGTGACATCACTTGAAGAACCACTGAAAACCTGAGAGTACTAGGCAGCTGCTTTGTTCTAGTATAGTTTTCCTCAGTAGTAAGCACCCATAACCTATCTAGGGGTCGAACCCAAGAACTCCAGGTTTTATGGTGTGGCCTATGGCATCAATCAGCTGGAAGTGAAGCCGATGGCAAGAGTTGAAAACTGTGAACCAGTGAACTCCGATTCAGTGGCTGGATGGTTAACCCTTTCGTCATGGAAAGTGAAAGTCCTGGGTTCAACCCCTAACCGAATCATGAATGCGTACTGCTGAGGAGTCCCATACTAAGACAAAGCAGCTGTCCAGTGCCCCCCAGGTTTTCAATGGTTCCGCAACTGATTTCAGTCCATGGTGAATACTACATCAATCTATTTATATATGTATGTAGGGCTTTCCATGACAATCTAATCTCACACTCTCACACCTCCAACTTGAAATAGAGATAGGTAGTAAAGTGGTGTCTTGTGGTTGACAAGAAAGCTTTTGTCGGATTGTTAAAAATTATTCTCAAATGATCTTGTGCCGAATCTGTTTTGTGATGTAGTCTGAAGCAACTAGATCGAATTCATAGAAGCTGGTTTAATGTGAATGATTTGCTGACAATTTGGAGATTAGTATTTAGTGAATCTTCTCCTCCTACTTCATAAGAAATTGCAGTGATAAGCATTTGATTGAATTTTTCAGTGATTCTCAGTGTTGCTGATTCTACCCTACCCTGTCGCCATGTTTATAACCTTGTTGTCACTTGTTATATTCTTTTGATGACTTGAGTTTATATATATATATATATATATATATATATATATATATATATATATATATATATATATACGACGCTTGAACGATGAACCCTCAAATTCAACCCCTTTAACGTCACTCAGTTTCTTGACAAATGGAAAAGGTGCTAAAACAACAGGTGTATTACAATGTCAAATGTATCTATAAAATATGAGGGTCTATATATATTTACAGCAGCCTTGACTATTTTCAGGCTTTTCGGGATTTGAATATCCTATTGATTTTTGTCACATTAACGAATCTAATGTACAGGTCGGGTTCGCTTACCATTCAGTAGTCGAACAATGCTCAATCCCAGACTAAAGGATAGCCTACCAATTTTTAGCTCTTCAAATTGCAGATTATAATTCAACTGTCCTTGTGGAAGAAGTTATATAGGGCGTACAACTAGGCATGTGTATCTCGCAAACAACTCAACATAGCATAGGCTGTCGCAATAAGGTTGGTCTAACTTGAACTGTGCATTCAGTAAAAACAAATCAAAGCGTTATTTCTCCCTTGACCTTCAGCAAACTGGAGGTCACTCCTGTCTTCCTTTGCTGTCGTTTCATTCACTTTCAGATCATTCATATTACTACATATCATCCCAATATTGGCAAATTTTAAGAAGTAATGTCGCTTTCCTTACAATCTCTAAGTCTCACTCCATTTTGAAAATGTATCTGCCTCTAATTTGGCCTGATTTAACGGGGTACAAGTGCATATTATAATTGTAGAGCCTGAAATTTACACGTTGGTTCACGCGCTTTCTCTCTAAACTTCATTGAAACACTTTTAGTTGCAAAAACCCCTAGGGATTTATGGCTTTTTATGAAGATCACGACAATCTAATCCCACCCTATCACATATAAATCAGGAATGTTAAACACACAAATAAAGACACAGAGAGATATTTCTGATTCACGTGAGACCGTGAATACATTATCCACATTTGTACAGGAGGTTGTAGAGTATAAGCAAATCCCCATTTTCTTGCCTCATAATTTTCTGCTATGCATACCTGTAGAGTATATTAGTTAGTCTTGTCAGGCGATAGTGCTCTTACTTTTATATTCTTCGACTAGTTCATTCAAACACTACTTTGAATTAAGTTATATTAAATAGTAAACTCTTCGATACCATTTGTCGATAATAAGTGGTAACTGAATCTTACCCCAAGCCTAGAATTAGCTACTAGTGATATCATCAGAAACGTGGTCAGTAAACTACCACGTCCATGCATAACTTAAGTAGTTAGTAGGTAATCTAACTTTTCAATATTCTGAAGACCTGAATGATCAGTTGTCTACATACATTTCATCTCATGCAACGCTTTTTAGCTTGATGCTAATAAAAACCGTTTTGTTTATTGTTTAGATTTGCATTCATGAAAAAAAAATCCTGTCTCCGTCTTCTTAAACACATTTTTATTAAATATTCACCGTAAGATGCCACATAGTTCATTTTAGGACTTTAAAATTAAACTGAGCTCGTCACGAAATAACCTAAGTTGAGAATAGATCAGACAAATTGACCCTGTTAGAGGAAATTTTAGGTGATATACATCAAAAATAGAAGAACGTGACTTCATCATAACTTTTTTTATCTTATAACAAAAGATTTTAATATTTTTATCATGCTTCCTGACAGTTTTCCATGGAAGTCCAATCTAGTTTTACAATTGGCACCTGGAGCTTTGATTTTTGAGCTTAATGTAAGACTAAAATAAGCTTCATGTTAGTAATGACTAGAGTATGACTGTACAGCCGTATCACCTTTCCTTGACCTCCAGAATGTTCCAGATTTGCATATATACAGCTGTTTTTAGTCATCTCGTTATTGAAACTGAAATTATTTCAGAACAAATACTTATCTTCAGGACTTTTCGCCTTCTTAACATTATCATCAATTAAGACCTATAGTAGATCTATGAATAGTTGCATCAAACGTTAGATATTTCAGTGAAAACAGATGTTTACCCCTCGGTAAACAGATGAATCAATCATTGTTTACTATCATCAACTCTGTAGTGTATTATTGTGGACGAAGTTTATAAATCCGCTGTACTGAAAGTCGATATATTGTGTCACCAGTTAAACGTAATTGTAAATCAAAGTGTAACTTAAACAAACCTTGTACAGTTAAGACATACGTCTGCATGTCAGCACAAGTCACTTGCAACTTGTTAAGTATTCAACAGGAGTCAAATTGATTAAAACGTTATCACATTACATTCATTTTTGAAAATAATTAGCCATAGATGTAATCAAATATTCTATACAACTACAATTTGTTATTTACGCAACACTACGGTTTTTCTCTAATTAATTTCAAAAGAAGAGGATATCTCTGATCAAGATCCCTTAGAAAAACTTCCAACAGACAGCCTCCTACATAGAAAATCCTTTTAGAAACTCTTACTTTTGTTCGAAACTTTCAGTAATGAAAGAATTCATTTCAGATATGCTTTTTTCCAACTTTGAAGTTAGCAAACAAAAGTTTGGACTCTCTGAAGTTTTTCACATAATATTAAATATTATTCTAATTGAGAACTATATTCTCATGAGACACAGTACAAAATAAGGTTGCTATGATCTGCTTAAAAAACTCTAAATCTCCGAAGTGCATTATAATCAATTGTTTTGCCTAGAAGTTTCGAGAGAAAGCAAGTGAACTAACGTGTTTATGTCAGATTGGTTGAAAAGATGAAAACCCTATAGGATTTTAAATATAGAAAAGCTTGGAACTCACCAAGGACATTATATTTTGTATATATTTTTGACCTTGCAATACATCTTTCATTATCTTACCGTCTTTTCCATTCATCATGAAACTGAACAACCATTAAGAGATGAAATCTGAAGAGTCTATCAATATACAACTTGGTTTATATCAAGTAGTCACTATAAGGTTATAACAAGATTATAAAAGATACTTACAAGATGAATATGTAATTTACTTCGGAACATCTGATTTACATTTGATTGTGATAGATTCTGATATTTTGACTGTGAAACTTATCTGCAAACTACCTTTCAGCATATCACCTAGTGAAAAGGCAGTTGAAACAAGTGTAACAAGTGATTTAACTCATACGCACTACGCATTTAGAAGGTCTGAGTTCTGAAATAGGATGAGCTGAACACCTGGTGGTAGCAACCTGATTTCTACTTGGTCTCTATTTTACTTCCGTGCACAGTGTAAACCTTCTTTGTATCAAATGTTATCAGACCATGAATGTGTGCGAATATTACAGTGAAAACAAATAAAACATTTCGAACAACTTTACATCAGAGTCATCTTCATATACATTGTCTGTATAAACAAACAATGTACAGCTCACTTTCAAGTTGTTTCGAAATCCAAACATAAGTACATGGTCGAATGTTTTCTTCGTTTCTTTAAAGAAACTTAATTTTTATTTGTTTTTGCTTATTTTCCTGAAAGGCAATTTATCTAATCCTATTGAAGAGTGGAAGTATCATACTGTAGAAAAAAGTTATTTTCGTTCAGCCCAAAGGCATGAAAACAGTCCACTTCTTGAATTTAAATGTAAGTTGACATTCATTATTATGAAATGCTACAGCTTTTGGAAATCTTAAGACTTAGCAATGTAATTACACCTAGATATATGAATTTTCGAAATGAATCACTCGTTTAGTTTTTTTTGTACGAAGTGCTTATGGTAAATAACTAACCAAGAATTGACTTCAGTTGGAGAACCACTGAAAACCTTAGGACACAGAAAAGCTTTTTTGTCCTAGAATGCGACTGCTCAGTAGTATGCACCTACGACGTCACCAGAGGTCAAACTGGGGGGGTGTTTAAACCTAAAATTCACTCAGAGATAAGCTTTGTAGGCCTAAGGATCCGATGGGATCTACCAAACTCCATGTAATGACTGAGAGGTCAATTGCATAGGTCAAAGTAGCCCAGTTGGTCGGGTTCATTTAGAACAGCTGAAAATAGGAATTTAGAGAAATATAGAATGACAGGCCCGAATAAGTTAAATAACCTAGAAAGCAACTGGGTTATTCCAATGCATGCATTCACTCACAACTGCACAGTAGGGTGAGATAGAAACACTGTACTCAAGTTCAATATAATTAGGTGGAGAGAGAGATTAATTATGAAAGCTTTGTTTATCGAATCAACACCCACACATGTAATGGAAATGATGCAACATCTAGACCAAAGATATGGAAAATCTTACTATCAATAAAACAAGTAATGTGAGGTGACAGGACTATAAAAACCAGATGTCGAAAGTTGTGTGATTACATTGATATGATTATGAGCAACGGTTTATGCTCGAAACGTCATCAATTAAGTGATACTGTATCACTGTGTGTTTATAAATCAAATAAACAAATCTAGTGTGGAATTAAATTCTACCACAGTGTCCAAGTTTCACTCTTATATTATTTGCAAACTATTCATCCTACTTAAGTAAACTCAACATTATGATTTCATTTACGCAAGAAACTTTCCTAACAGTCAAGGTTCATAAACAGATTATTTCTCGCCTCCGATCTTAGAATCACATCCTCCTGTCATAAACTCATCCATCAGTACACAAAGAATAAGCTGGAATATCGGGTCATATCAATGTGTGTAGCCGAGTTTACTAGTTCCTGTAAAGCCGAGTACATCGGCCATATCATGCACTGGCTTATGCAACACACTGTCAAACACTGTCCAACTTGGCTGACAAACAGAGAAAGGAAATGTATCCTCGACTTCGTAAGAGAATACTTAGTAAACTCAAGACACTTGGCTGCTTTTGGTAAGTCTTTCAAAGTTCTTCACTAATTGAAACTAAGCCACTCAATAGGAGTGAAGCTATAACATCTCGGCATAGCTGTAATATTAGTGATTCAAACCATTACTGTGGGCTCAAAAGAAGCATGTACCACGTCTTGCCTTGACATGACCAGCGTAAATTATCGATCATTCTAGATAACCCATATATGCCGTAACTATTTTCATTTTGGAATCATTTTGTTCATCACCATATTGCGTAACTTTCTTTTGTTATGAACTTTATATTGACCCTGGACTGGAAATTAGTTTGGAATATTCTGTTGCTTTTACTATTTTACTGTTTCGATATTTAAACAATAAGTATTCCTATCAAGCATCATGCCATAAGTTATTTGTCCTTTGGAATTTATCAGTTAAGCCTGAAAAGTAGTCTTGACTTGTGAATTAGTGTGCTATTGGACTATTTTATACCTTGAGTATTTGAAAGCACAAAAAACACCTCAGAAAAATCAGCAATGCATTTCTATATTTCTTACCTGGATTATACGTATAGTATACCATCCTCCCGAATATACCGAGACATGTGTCATCCGACTGAACCGACAAATGTTAAATACATATGACTCTGATGATATCATTTGATTACAACTTACTGTCGACATATTGCTTCATCCACCGGACTGAAAGCGAGGTGCTTTATTTGCAACTGTTTAACTATCAGACTGTTTTCTCTTTCCCCGTGAAATAAAAAGCAAAGACTGTGGCTTACTATTCTCACAAATGTACAGTTTGAGTCATCTATGTTTTCAGTGGAGCTGCATATCTACTAAGTGTTGTAGTTTAAAAAATGAAATAACCCAGAGAATGGAACAATACACAATCAAGGATTTCATTTAAAATGCAGTTACTTCAGAACCATGATTCGTATGAGGATGAGTAAGAGGTCAATATGAAATTTGGGAGATGAGCTGTAAAATACTTTTGAGTCTTAAGTAGAGTCAAATTTTAACTCTGTAACATTTTACAACCAATTACATTTGTTTCTGATTCCTATTTCCCTTCCATTAGTTCACAGTAGCGTCAATCATTTTTCTGTATTTTCCATTGTAATTCCAAACTTCTCACACTTTTACGCATTTAAAATTGAGTGCTTATTGAGACGTTTTGTTGCGAAATCAATGTTCTTAAACAGTTCTCTTCTTTAGAACGAGACACTTATTACTGCAATTTTTTTTTCCTCTCTTTCTGTTTTTCTAGTGACTCGTCCAGAACTGGTTCTCAGTTTAGTTGGAATATTAGCTATCTCCCTGGTTGTCAACATAGTGCTAATAATTCGATGTGTACTGCTTAAAAGTTATCTGGGTAAGCTGACACTATGAGTGATATTATCATTTCGATTATTATAATCATAAAATGTTTCGTTATACTTTCGTCATCATTCAGATAATTCAGAAAATAATTCAGCCAACCATGCATTGTTTGATGCATCTGCATTCCGTTACAGAATTAGCGTTTCTTTGGTAAAATGGGAACCTCTTCATTAACACTATTTCTTGATAGATTAAAGGACCAGGAAAACTTATTTTTTATGAAGATGATTAAAGTTCAAATGTCTTTAACCTAGAAACACTTTATAAATGAAAACAATAATACTTTCAGACAGACAAAATCAACGTAGAACCTCGCACAAAACTGTAACGGTTTAACTCGCTACATTTTACACCAGCACTTAAAGAACAAGTGGATGAAAGAAAGATTGAAATTAAAGTAGACAATGGCGCATTCATGGAGAAATTTGAAAAATAAGATTTTTCAAAGTATTCGAGCTTTAAAAGACACCAATCAGTGGATAAATCTGTGCCATTGTGATCGATTTCCAGCCATGATACCAGGTGTCCCTAACCTTCTATTCGTTTAGCCTCTCGGACCCTAGCTAGGTAGTCTACGCCTAGCCACGCTGCTGAAACCAGCAGTCAGGGACTCAGTCCACTGGTGCCACATTTTAGTCCGGTAACTCTGAACCCTCTTTCAACTTAATCTATCTTCCGTTAGGATGGCGCGTCGAGGTATGCAGTGACTCGGTGTGCGTAGCCATTATCAAAACAAAACCTTGGTGAAGTTCTACATTCTGATCGACTGTCTTGTCCTCTTCGCCTAGTGCCTTTCGCCGGACCTTACTCAACATTGCTCACATAGTGACTCCACCATATGCAACCAACACCACGAAAATATCTGTGACCAAGGACTTGTAACCGCTTCATATTTCCTAATTTCAAAGGCCATATCTCACAGCCGCATAATAAGACACAGAAGACTCCAATGCAGTATACAGTCCATCTACATTATTTCACTATAGTGAGTGAATGGACAACCGTAAACCTTGACTTGACTTGGCAACCAATAACTCACACTTTATGAAAAATCCTAACCAAGGTTAATTGCATAAAAAAAGGGTTTCACCTTGACGGCGCAAAGGATTATCTTAGTTGAGGCTTGACAATTAACTTATCAGTATTTCAACAGTAAGGTATTTGTCAAACTCTATGTTCATATACGAACAATTCAAAATTAATCAGAAACAAGTTTGAAGGAAGCTCACCTTCATAAACATCAGGTCCTAAGTATTCGATGTACTCTTTGGTGTTACTTCATTATTCGTCCAATGATTATTCAATACTTCGTGAAACTGTTGTATAACCAAAAGTAGTGGGAATTTCATTATCACGTCAAATAAGCTGACTTTTCAACCACTCAGCATGTGGCAGATTTCAATGCATTTGTTTACATAGTAGATGAAAACGAAGCGATGATCAAAGTTTACCACTCATTTTCTTGCTATCAATTAGTTTCCTAGTTTCGTTTTCCCTACGACTGGAAATCCTATCTGATTCCGTTCTACAAACGGAAACAAGATATAGTTTATTTGAAATGTTAAGTTTTACAGGAGAATAGTGTACAGATGAGTCGGACATAGTGTCTGAACACACAGCGAACGATTCAGGTCGTGACTACCATATTTATGAGGTGACTATTACTTAGACTAACTAGTACAATCCTGAAGTTAAAGGTCTCCTATTTTCGTTTAGTAATTTAACATTATTTGCGAACAGTACATGATCCGCACAATTATGTTTCCTTGCCTATATGAAAATAAGCAAATAAATCTGAATTTCTTTGGTTTGGAGGCATCTAAGCCCAAGTTCACATCGATGGATTCAAATTCAATGAGTGAAATCCCCTGACACTGAGAAGCTGTATATGCAGAATTACGTAGAGTGTCAGCACACTTGTGACCTGAATGTTCTTAATTGAAAGTTATTGCAACTCATATTTACTGGAGCACTCATTGGTTTCATAGGAAGTTAGTAATTATCCATCTAACTCTATGAAACTACCAGAATATCTTCAGCAAATAAATCTACTCTTGAAATTGGTTTCGTATTTCTCTCTGGGATTCGATAAAATTCACTATAAAGTGGGAAATTCCTAATGATTTTCGAAATTTCACCCCAAAAATTATTGATCCATTTAACTGGTAAAAAGGTGAGAATAGTAATTAACAAAATAATAACATGAATTCGCTATATTCTATGGATTCTTAATAACTACTTACTACTTAGGGCATTTTTAAAAGGAAATGTTAGAGGAAATTGCTTATGTTCTTAACTTGATAAAGAAAGTCAGCTGCAAGGAGAAAATACATTTAAGTTGAACGCAACCTGAACGGATTGTTTAAAAGTAATCTTTTGAGAAATCATAAATGGAACTGACAGGAGAAAGTGAATGATTTCATAGAAACGAAAATTCCTACTATGAATTATTTAAACGATATGAGAAAATTTAAACTAGGCTCTAAGATTAAATGAACTTACATCAAATGAAAAAGTTTGAAAGGAGTAGTAAAGTTACATAGGAAGCGGGCTGAAGTGACCTTACTTTCATATTCATTGTTCAATGACGTAAAAAATAACTATTAACCAAACAGTGTTGATATTGGATATCAAATATGCAATCTGGATCACACCTCACCATAGTGCAAAGAAAATAAAATAAATTCAGCTAAAATGGAGAAAAAACAATTGAATACTGAACAACAATGTGTCTGATTCATCTTTGGTCTGCATACCTAATGGCCATAGTTCTTAATTAGTGTAAGTTGAATTTCCGAAAAGTGTTATTGGTAAAACCAGATATACAGAAGGATTATCTCCTTGCATATTAGTATAGTTCACAGATGGCTCCAGTTGAATCAAATCAAATTATTTAAGGCTGTAGTGAAATAGACTTACTCCAATCTCATCAATATCACTGACTCTGGTCCCATCAACATATTTTACAAATATTGCATATTTGTCTTACCAATACTGAATATCAGGTAGGAGATTTAGTTGAAAGCTTTCCTTCTGATGACTGGATTTGGCAGTAAAATTTTATGTCGAGTGAACGTGTTTCCCCTAGAAATTAAAAGCATATTACACCACAAAAAACCATAGTCTTTAATCTAAATCATACAGTTGATAAATTTATTTCCTGAGAATAATTTAGCTGACAATATTCTTTTTAGATAATGCAATTCAGGGGAAATTAAGCTCGAATCTAAAGTGTTTACTATGTCTACGTTCAAAATCAAATCTTAAAAGGTTAAACACAATGGAGAAGTCATTGAACCAATCAAATCACCAACCTATTCTGATGACTTCATGTCAGGTTGGTCAGTTGATTGAGCCGAATACAAGTTTCATGAATTATTCGACGCAGTTTGATGATAATCTAACTGAATCAATTCTACTATATCAAAATAAACCTGACAATTTTACACCTAATGACAATAATCGATTATTACCAGTGAATACAGGCATCATCCTTTCAAATCTCTTTCAACCAACCATGTCGACTACATTGACAAATACAACATCAACAACAAATGGATCATTTGTGACAACTACTCCTGCATTACACCACTTAGTTAATGGTCCTTTGACAATGACTAAAAGCGATTTACTAAAGTTTCACGGACAGAATGGTCAAAGTAGTTCAGGTGTTTCCTTAGAAAGTGATCCGATTGGTAACAAACGTATAAACCTGTTTCACTCACAGTCTGTTAACTATTCTAAATCATCAAGCCATCAAGTCCAGTTACCAGAATATAGTTTTCAAAATGGGAATACTTGTGTGATTGGTCAAAATGGTAGTCTGAATGGTTCTTTAATTTACTCGAATGATTCAATAAGCCTAACAGATATAACAAATGGGAATGCTGTAGTAAATCCTAATCATGTAATCTTAACACAGAACCCTCTATCAGCTTATCTAATGCAATATGGCTGTTCAGGTGAACAGTCGGAAAAAACTGCACGAAGATATGGGCGTCAGCAGCAGCAACAACAGTCACAGCATTTCTATTCAGATGATTATGGACGAAATCCCCATCCACATATTTCCTCACAAATTACTCATTCAGAAGGGAAATCGCCGCGACTTCGAAATGATCATCCTCACTCCAGAAATATGGATAATGACGAAACATGCAATCTAATACCTGAAATGCATACTAATCAAGATTTTCATGCGTATACATTTAGAAACAGTTCAACAATTGACTCTTTATCACATGATACAAATAACTCGGTAAGCCATCTAGACGATAGTTTAACACTACAATCAAATCAATTATCTTCATGTCTAACTCCACTAGTGGTTCGTTTCCCATCCGGCGAGTCAGGTTTCCTGTTCTGTCCAGCCCGTACAACCAATGATACCTATCAGTCTGAAAGTTTATCACGTCGGTCAAATCATATTTCCATTATCAGTAATTATATCACAAGGCCTATTGATAAAGACATAAAAACAAGTAATCCCTTTATTGAGGAAAATTTGAATGTAAACATAGATTGTATTAAAACTAATTTAGAAGCTATAAGGTTAGAAAATTTATATGACTCAAGTCACTTATCTCAAAACTCTGATAACGAGACAAAAATCTCATTTTTACCTGATAACACTAGACCACAATGTTCAATTTCTGGGAATATAGCCGAATCAATTCATACCAATTCATCTGAATATCATCAAAATAACAAGCCACAGGATATACGCAAAACATTAAACATTATTTCAACAGATCACGATTCATCATTTAAGCCTTCGCTTAGTCAATGTATCAACCCTAAAGATGTTGATGAACGAGAAATAAATGGTTCTGAATCTGTTTCTCAAAAAAATATTCCTAAAGTATGTGAATCTAATCATTTTTCAGGTAGTTCTGATGATGCTTTGAATGAAGAAAAAAGTGTTCACAAACTGGTTATGAATTCTAAAACATTTCCAGTATGCTAAATTTCTCACTTTTTTTTATTGTACATTTTATATCTTAAAATTATCAATTAACTAACCACTTTACTTCAGATTTTAGGAAATAATTAACATGCTACTCTCAAATTAAACAGTAACTCAGTTTGATTATAAACTTTCTGATAATGCCTAACTATATATACTTTTACATTATCAGTTGTTACTTTGACAGTCAACGGTTTATACAGTCGTATGAGTAGTTATTAGCTAAACTGTATTGAATTTCATCTTTAATTATAAAAGCGATAATGTATTATATGTTATGTTTTATCATGAATAAAATTCATTTTGATAGTTTTTTTCGGTTGAAAGCAAAGTTTTATCATAAGGGGGCAATAATGTCCGATTGAAATCCACAGTGATAATCACACTGGGGTGTCCTAATGAAGTGAATGTCTTCTTACGTTCTAATCAATCGTTAAAGCGACGAAATTTAGCAATTAACAGTTGGTAGATTTACACTTAGTCTGTAGAGATGTTATTTCAGACGATGAATTGAGACGTGAATAATATTCTAGTAAGGACAGTCCACTCATCAAGAACAAAAATCGTGAACAGAGAATTACTATTTATTGACATACTTGTTATTCTCTGTTGTTTTGTTAGATCGAATTGTTTGACCTATATTGGCATATGGGCTCCTATGTGGATACCTCGATGTTGCCTGAATGTTAGTTATGACGAATTGGTTGGTTGTGGCTAGCAGAAGAATCCAGGTCGTGTGTTCCGTCCTATTTGGGACTCCTCAGCTGGGTGTACCTGCACCCCAGTGATGTTATTCCCACTGGGGTGCAGGTACATCCAGCTGACGAGTCCCAAATAGGACGAAATGCGCGTCCTGGATTCTTCTGCTTGCCACAACCAACCAATTTAAACAGAGAAGATATGAAGAGAAGAAAATGAATTGATAAATTGGCAATTAGAAAGACTGTACTTACTTGAAATGATAAGAGACAATCAACAACAAGGAATCGAAGTGACTTGGAAATTGAAATAGGAAGCCGACAAAGTGAGGTTTCAGAAGTGTCACAGTAAAGTGCTTAAATGTACAAAGCGAATAGAGGGCCGGGGGGAAATCGGAAAGTAGTATTAGTGATAAACAACTGTCTCCACCAGCCTTGAAATAATACCGTGAATAATCAGTATGCCGAGAACGGAGTCATTACATTATTTATTATTTGTCTTTTGGGTTCTTAGTGGAACATAAGACTTCGGTAACACACCACCATTTCACTGTCTTCTCTACAGTCTGCTCAACCTGGCTCCACCACTGCCCACAAGCTTTCGTTTCTTCCTCACACCATCTCCTCCATGTCACCCTCACCTCGGACGCCCAACTCATCGTTTCCCATACGGGGTCCGCTTTAGGGTTCCGGCTGACGTCTGATGTCCCTCAGTGGTCTTCTCAGTGTATGTCTTATCCAATCCATCTCCGCTTCCTTCTATAAATTGGTTGGAAGATAAGCTCTTCGTTAATTCGTTGCCAGTCAAAGATTCTTGTTGCTTATTCTTAACAGTCTGGCCGCCTGATCTTCAGTGTCAGTATCGAGTGAGCGTAGGCGGCAGCTGTTGATGAACATCTGTAGTTTGTTGTAAATGCTTTTCGTAACGCACCGCCAAGTCTCTGAATCATCACATAGAAGCACTCACTTGACTGACATTAGTGTTGAAAATCCAGATGTTGTTCACACTTTACGCTGAGCACAGTACAACACAGTGTATCTCCACACTCATTTCAGGTTAATGAAGGCTTGTCTTGCTGTCTTTCCGCTCCTGACTTTGACATTCTCATCTATGTCTTTGCCACTTGTATTTGAGACAAAAATATCTAGATAGGTTAAAAAACAACTTCTTTCAGATTCCTTGCGTTGATGGTGATTGGTTATTGTTGTTGTTGTTGCTGTTGTTGGTTAATTATCTTCATCACCTTTGTCTTCTCCACGTTCACTTGAAGGAAGTTTCGTCTTCGCTACCTCTTCGCTGCCTCTTCTGCCAACTGATTAGTTTTCACTTGTAGATCTTCGAGCTTGGGGTACACTAGACATAATAAATCATCGTCGGAGAAGTCCAAATCTTGTTCTGAGGTCTTTCATAGGTCAAACAGACCACGCCTATCTTCTCGCCCCTCACGGTCTGTTGCATGACCCAGTACAGTCAACCACAATCAGAAAGGTGATCGGTGATACTAAGCGGAAACCCTGTCTGACTCCTTTCCTCGCTTCGCTGTTTCGTCCTTCAGTTTTTGGATATTGAATCAGAACTATGGTCTATCATCACCAGATTCTTTGAAGGCCTTCAGCTTGATTTTGAAGGTAGGTCCCATGCACTAGATAGTGGTGTGAGTGGTTTGAACCTAAATCTGCTCCCCTTCCTCATCTCATCTTGTGTCCACTAGGCTGACTACGTCTACACTTTCTTCACATTGAGATGAAGTCGATATGATTTTTTATGTAGTGTGTCCTAGTATCTGGTGAAATCAAATCCATGTCGCTCACTGCCTTGTGAATGTCATTAACAGTGTTTGTACACACTACCTCCAATCACCAAATCGTTGACTGCGCAGAATTCTGCAAACAGTTCTCCATTCTCATTCATTATTTCACCGAGTGCTTCTCGATACATGATAAGTTCTCTTACTGTGTTATCCACTACCAGACTGACATTCATGTCACCCCAACCATTAGAATTCTGATGTCACCAACTGGGATGGGATCTTGCCCAGTATTGATTGCAGTTATCTGTAGAATTTCTCCTTCTTCTCTTGATCTGCATTATTTACGGGTGCGTAGTATTGTATGACTGAGCCTTTTCTTTCTTTCGAGTTGAATCTAGCTTTCATGATCCTGATCGTGGAGGAGATTGGTTCCCACTGCATGAGAGACAGCCTTCGATAATGTTCGGGACATCACAATAGTCATTCCAAAACTCAATATGCTCGTGACTGTCATCTGGGTGACAATATCGAAGTAGATTATTGATTCTCCAGTTGACAGTTTGGAGAGTCCACTTCCATTCCATCTGCTTTCGCAGATTCCAAGCACTTCTATGCAATGCCCCATCTCTTTTGCAATCTGAGCAGCCTTGCTCGGTTCATACATTGTGTGGACATTCCATGTCCCCAATCTTACTTTCGGTTTCATCAAGAGAAGACAGATCGGTCAAATGGCCTCTCGATGGCATTCAATAACCGGCGTCATTTCGTTTCCTTGATTCCAGTGAGGAATAAGTTTATTTTTATTTTTTAGATTTTTTTGGGCTTTGAAGTTTCTTTAGTGGTTGGTAGGGTTGCTAACCCTATGCCCAACCCACCCTCTTTATCCAGGCTTAGGATCGTCTAGTAACTGGTGAACTAGTAAACTAGGCAAGGTTATAAAGAATACTGTTACACAAAGCATAATACTTTTAGTAGGATTACATGAACATTAATTAATTACAACTGATTGTTGCATGAAGACAGTGTTACATAAAAGTATTATTCAAAAGAAGGTATTTAGGTAAGAGGACCCTTTTCAGTGAATTTATTCTCACGTTGCACATTTACATACATATATATGATACTTAAAAACTGCCATCCGTCAGGAAAATTAAAGTTGAATAATTGTAAGTTGAAACAACACTAATGGTGGTTATAGTTAATTGACTTGATCGTAGATAACAGTGGAATGCAGGACGCTTGTTTCATCCTAACAAAATCAGCCCGCAATAAATAGTTAGGCGACATCGAAACATCCCCATAGAAGGCCACGTGCTAGCAAGGATTGATCAATTCGCTCCAGCAGAACAAGGGAAAATTACAAGTATATCGACAAATAAAAATAGCGGTTATAGTTATAATAATGTTGCTAGTTGATGACACAAAAGTTGAAGGAAAACAAAATGGGTTAACGTACGGTTTTTTAAATTGTTTATAAGCAGCATGCTAGAGCTAATAAACAGTCAGAGGACTATTGTAATATGAACGTGGCGAGATAACTAAGATAAACTAAAAATGCTTCGAGATGAATGGGGATTTAAACTTAGAAGTAGTATTCATCATGGACTGATGTCAGTTGGGGAACCACTGAAAATCTGGGAGCACTGGACAGCTGTTTCGTCCTAGTATGGGACTCCTCAGCAGTATGCACCCACGACCCGGTTAGGGACTGAACTCAGGACCTTCAGGCTTCACGGCGAAGGCGTTAACTATTCAGTCACTGAGTTCGTTTTCAGTGGTTCACAATTTCCAAATTCTGTCAATTTACGGTATAGCCTGACTATCATCCATGGTCTTCAGTTAGCATTAGAAGTTGGAAATCGTGAACCACTGGAAACCAACTCAGTGACTGAATAGTTAACGCGTTCGCCGTGAAACCTGAAAGTCCTGAGTTCGATCCCAGCCGGGTCGTGAGTGCTTAATGCTGAGGAGTCTCGTAGTAGGATGAAACAGCTGTCCAGTGCCCCCAGGTTTCCAATAGTTCCCCAACTGATATCAGTCCATGATGAATACTACTTTTAAAAACGCTCTGTCAAAAGTTGCAATCACTGGTGCGAATAAATGGAGTTTCACCGGGAACCATTAAATGTAGGAATAATAATATTATTAATGACGATATAAAAGTACAAAAATTAATCTAATAAGGGAAATAGTTGAAAAATAAAGGATAAATGAAACAAACTAAGACCAAGTTAAGGCCAAATAAAGACTGCACGTACTTCTTTAGCACACAAAGGTCTGGCTTCAGCTGATAGATAACAGTAGGCTATGTTGTTTCTAGAAGTTGAAAACGAAGAAAAGATAATTAATAAGCAAGTTTGGCAGCCAACCTTAAAATCTCTATCTTATCAAGAACTATTAAAATGGCATAAATGCGAAGTTTTAAATGGTAACTTACTAAGTTAGTGTTCATTATTACACATAATTTGGCAGTTAGTTTTACATATGTGAAGTAAATACCTGTACAAAATGTTATCAGTAGGAAAGGTTTACTAACGTAATCTATCGATCACTGTTATTGTAGATACTATAATATCTTTCTTGACAGAATATTTATATTCCGTTTATATACGCAATTTTCCCCCTGTTTACTGAAAGTTGGAGTGTAGCTAAATGTAGTACAACAAAACTTGTTCTACACTTTTGTATACATTGAGATTAATATGAGACTGGTTAGAATATGGTAAGGTGCACATTTGGAAAATAGTTTCTAAACGAAATACTTTTGCAAGATCATACTGTTTCATGACCATTTGGAAAGTGTTTCCTCAGTGGATAAAACCCGTAAGTTTACGCATGTGTAAGTGTGAACACAAGCAAACTGCTTTTCTCATA